AATATTTGTTAATATATCTCAAAACAGGCAAGAAGCTGGCCAATCTCAATAAAAGCACATAGAATGCTGCCAGAATTCAATTTGACCTGCAGTTCCAATTCATGTTTCCAGAATGTACCACTGCACACTGTAAATAAAGAGCCCTCCATATAAGAAGTGGGCTGGGATCAGTCCATGTCAGCCTGAGAGCCGACTCCTGTTCTGGGTTTCCAGATGAAGCCATGTTACAATGAGAGCAGCTTGGCATTAAGCTTGGAGAGCTGCCTGACCATAAAGCTGATGAGCGCCCATCATGCTTTGCGGCTGAGCTAGAGCTTGCTGTCTGCCGGAAGCAGCTGCTTTTCACACAATAGGGCCGTGGGAGGGGAGGAGGGGGAATTCCGGCAATCTTATTATAGAGACTAACCAGCAAAGCCTCCTCCTCTCCTCCCACTCCAACTGTCAGCTATGTACCGCCTAGACATTAACCCCTCGCATGGTCAGACCCTATTCACTATTGTGGGGAGACAGTCTGTGATGGGAGAGATAAAGATTCATCGGGGTTTATTCACTAAACAATTAACTGCAGCCAATTGAAATATGAATTGCAAGATTGAATGGTGCAAGATTGTTGTGCTGCCATTTTAGACCACTCCTTTCCTCTTAAAATATTTATTAATATTTATAAAGCGCCATCAAATTCTGTAGCGCTGTACAATAGGTGGACAGCCACTATTTGTAACAAGACGTGTTGAATGTGCAGGACCATTCTTTACATTCTAGAGGGAGTGGGGTAAAGTGACACAAGTGGTAAGTGTAGGATGTATTGCATGTATGGGGAAAAGTAGGTTACTAGAATAGTTTGCAGTGAAGGGTTTGATTTTTTGTAACACAGTTGCAGGAGAAGAAGCAAGGTAAGTTACCAAGATGTGAGGAGGTAAAGCTGTTGAAGCGGCACTGTCATCATTTGGGGACTTTGCTGAATTCTCAAGGAGAACCAGGAAAGAACAGAGTCTAATAAACTGAGATTATGGAGGATGAGAAGAAGTTGTTGATGAGTCGAAAGCAGCAGAAAGGTCAAGGAGAGAGTAGAGAGTAGCGACCACTGGATTTAGCAACAATTAAATCATTGGATACTTTGATAAGGGCCGTTTCGACAGAGTGACAAATGTGGCATCCAAACTAAAGTGGGTTAAGCAGACAGCAGAGCAGAGAGTTGGATTTAAAGAAGTCTATCAATCGAGTATACACAACACTCTTGAGGATCTTGGAGGCAAACGGTAGTAGCAAGATAAAGCGGTAGTTGGATGGGGAGTTTAGGTCACGGTTGGGCTTTTTTAGAATTAGGGTGATGGTTGGGTGCTTGAAGCGTGAAGGAAATATTACAGAGGAGAGGGAGAGATTGAATATTTTAGAGAGAGGCAGAGCAAGAGAAGAAGACAGAGTGCGGATGATGCAAGGGAATAGGATCGAGGAAAAAGGTAGTGGTGCTGGAGGACCGAAGCAGACCAAAAATCTCTTCTGGCGTAGCTGGTGTGAGTAAGCATAGAACAGAGGAGGGATGAGATTGGGGTAAGTATTGGTAGGGGTAGGAGAGAGATTAGAGATCTCTTCAATGATCACAGAAATCTTCTCAGTGAAATAAAGCGTTACATACCTAAAATCCAGCAGCAAGAGGAATAGCAATGAAACAGCCCTATCAAAATAGTAACATACTCATGGGATGATTAACTAAAGTGTGACTTTTTGTGAAATTCCACATGAATTTTAAATCAAATAAACTGGAAATATAGCTGACTGAAGATGAGGTGTATTCACTAAACAGGGAATTGAAATAGATTAAATAACCAGTATGCAAAATGTATGCATACATTTTCTAATTTGGCAAAAGAAAGTCTGCTTTACTCATTGCCTTGCTTCTTTTTTTTATTTATTATTATTATAATAAATAATACAGGGAATCTCCTCCATGACGCTGAATGCTGTCTTCTTTATCGGCATGCCGATGTCTGAGCAGTGACGTTAGTCACTCTGTTCCTGTACTCCCTTGCTGGTACGGTATGCTTTGTGATTGCTATGCATGGAGAGCACAAGGACCGCCTGTGGGTGGTCTCTTCTGCTCTCATTTATCAAGCAATTCATTAGCATAGAGTCTATGCCAAAGAATTCATTAACAGGTGGGAGAAAAATCCATTTTTAAATATATATTTTTTTTAAGTAACATTTGTCCAATCCCATAAGCCATCACAAATGTCAGTTGTGGGATCCAGGCTCTGTCTATGAAGGTTCTCACTGGATCCTCGATAGACCTCAGTGTTGTTCACTCACACATGTGCAACAGTACACTACTGATGTGGCTCTTGACAACTGAAGCACCATTAGCCAAGAGGACACCAGGACAAAGATGGCAGAGGTCACAAGGGACTGCGTGAGTTACGTAAAACTTACCGCCCCTGCATCTCGCGACCATGGAACCCACAGCGGATCTGTCAGTTTCAGGGGTCTCCAAAAGGGGCAGATACAGTTCAATAAAACATTGCTTACCAGTGATACAGCACCAAGGTCAGGTTCTCCATGAAGCTCTATTCTCCTCAAGTGAGCCCCCTCACTGCAGGAGATATGACCAGAGGACAGGTGGGGGCCATGACACCATTAGACCATCTGTCAACAGCATGCAATGCATGCTGCCGACAGATGCCAAATATGTACAGATTTAACAGTGGCAAGCCCTCTACTCTCATTCTATGCTGGATAATGGCACTGCCAGAGGTGAAGTTACACCTCTGTCAGCAAAAGAGCTTTAACTTTGTATGTGTAGAGGTTCAAACAGAAACACTGTATGTACAGACTCCAAGCACGATGACCACTTCAAAACACTGATGGAGCTTGGTGCTTGGAGTAACTCTTTAAGTAAATAAACCCTATGGACACACTTTATGTATGACATTTGCACTTTATTGAGCAGGGCTTCCTATATGTTCACTTAAACTTGTTTGTTACTTGATTTTGTGATGAACACTTTAAAGCATTTTGGAACATGCTGCAACCATGTGTATACATACACTGACTTTTATACACATTGCCACATGAATGTGGCTGAAGTGGGGCCAGGCAAGGTCTGCCAAGAAATCCTGTTATTTATTTATTTTAAAATGGTTTCACACAAAAACAGGGACAGGTATAAAGAGACTTGTGTGGACAAGCTGTAACTAAATGACATACCCAGTAGTTGTGACTTATGAGGGCTCAGCATAAAACCTTACATGTTCAATCCCCCCTCCACCACGCCACCAAAGTCTGCAGAACAATGTGCAGCCAAAATGTCAACATGTATTATGTTGGAAACAAAGAGTAATCCTGCCCTCACAATGCACAGCCAAGTGTTCAATCCATATTGCAGTATATCAGATCTTTACCTTAGGCAGCTTGGCTGTAAGAGAATGGAAGCAATATAAGAATAGTACGTATTCTTTGCCAGTTCATGGTAAATGATATAATTTCCTACTGCAATCTTCTGTATCCCATGTTTTATTTGATAAAACTTACTGTTGGACTGTTTCGACCTTTATGTTAATTGCAATGGTCCAAGGTGTGTTCATTAAGGGCTACGTATGTTCATTAAGAATCAATTTCTAATACCTGGAGGGGGGATTGTATTATCTGGACAAGTTCCATGAACCATGCTTATAAGGGAGAAATATACTTTCACCACTACGTTGGTGTATTAGCAAAACAGTGAAGTGACAGAATAACTGTAGCATTTAGGCCAAATTAACACTTGAAAAATAAACATTCAAAATGAATATTTTCCATATGGGATAAAATGACCCAAACTTGCCATTTTGTTGTGAGACATTTTGTCAGCTAAGTGTTTAGTGAATAAAACCACCAATTAAGAGTTGGATAATTTTACCAGATTCAAGTGTTATATTATTAAACCCTGGTATAGTTCTATATTAAGCAATCAATATTGCATTGATGACTGTAGATTAGTTAGGGGTCATTGGTGACATAATAGGGTCAAGCTTGGATTTTCTGACGTAGGCTGATTTTCTGACTGCAGATTGACAATGCCGGATTAGACAGTGTTGTGCTTCTGTCTAATCCACTGTGACCGTTTGGCTGCAGAAAATAAGGAACACACACAGGCAATATTCCATTTATAACTGCAGTCAAGAGGTCACAGACAGAGCCGGATTAACCATTAAGTCAACCCAGGCAATAGGAATTTGGGTGAGGGAGGCAGCAGTGAGCCCCAGTAGCATCTGCATGTGGCCTTGTTTGCTCATTTGCTTCTCCACCAGTTTAAATCCAGAATATGTCGGCAGTAAAATTAGCTATTTTTTGGCACCCTATCTACTTATAGCACTTTGTTGAATAAAGACTACTCTAGAAAACCATGTGGTGTATTTATTCACAAGATAAACAACGGCACTGTGTGGCATTAAAACAGCACAGCTTATCTTTGATAAGTGAATAAATATCATAAAACCATCCGTTTGTGGAGTGCTTTTCACTGATAATATATGTTTGCAACAAATATAATTCCTTAGTGCTGGAGGTAATGGCCTCATGCAATCGAGACCCATGGTATTTCATTCAAGTTAGATGACTCTGCAATCCAATCTTCAGTAAAGAAAATATTTTATTCAGCCAACAACATCCAGCAACATGGCATTACTTATATATTTTTATATGGTCGGGGGCACTCAATAGGTTACAAAAATATTTCCAATAGATTATTTACCCAAGAAAGGTTGTGAGAATTCTGGAGGAAATACATTATGGATATTAACACAAGTAAAATGTAATATTAAAGGAACAGTCCACAAACATAATTAAAAACAAATGTATAGGGTTACTCCAACATCTATGACCACTTCTGTGGTCATGGAGGAAGAAATCTGTGAATAATTTCATCTTAAAACACTGCATATGCAGAGATATTTGCACTTTCGTACTGGTGACTCATTGCACATCCGGCATGTGCCTAATATCAATTCAGTGCAAAAATATGTCTGTTGAGCGTGGCACTACAAGCAGTCAACAGACATTGCCAGCTTTACTCCATGCAGTCAGCATTGGAGCTTGCCTGTAAAGGTAAGTGTCTACTCCCTCCCTTGTTTCAGCCCTCCTGCCGTCCCCAAATCCTTATACTCTTAAAGGTTTTTTTTTTCCTGTCCCCTTCTCTTCTTTCCTTTGTCCATCCCCACTTTGTCCATCCCCAGTGCCTCACTGCTGGCTCAAAGAAGCATTCCATGCGAAGCATTTGATTGGACCACAAGATTCTCAATTCTAGGTAAGTTATTCCTTTATTTTAAATGATTATGTGGTGGAACCTAGTGATTAGTGCCCAGTAGAGCATTGTAATTAAAAAACAAAACAAAGTAAATACTGAAAAAGGGTTCGAGTAACCTGTATAAAGATAAATAATTACAAATTTAAAAGATAGATTTCCAAATGATACTGCCAAATGGCTTCATCAATTGTTTTGTCTATACTCCCATAGTTATCAGTTAACCACCACAAACTTAAAGGGTTACCCCAACCCATAAACACCCCCCAAAAAAACAAACATACTCTTTACCTTATAAATGCACTATGGGATATAAGTATTAGGTCCCCCCTGGAACAAACTTGAAAAAAAAAGCTTTGAATTTACCTTAATCCAGCGCTGGGCACAGATTCCAGTGCTGATCTTCCTTTTCATAGAGAAGCCTACAATTGGACCCATTCGCTGGCTCAGAGCAAATGTGCACATTCGGGGCCGGAGAGTCGAGAGAAGGGGGTAGTGGGTAGGAGGAGGGACGTTTTCTCTCATTTCTGGCAGGAGGGAGCACCACAGGGTGGGAGGGGGTAGCAATCTTTCCTTTGCAGGTGTTCTGCCTGCCAGGGAGAATATTATTATGTCTCTTGCCAGCCAGTTGTGCACTCTGATGACAGACATAAAATATGTACATAATTGACATTAGACTGCTTGAAACAGAGTTCTTTGCCACCAATATGACATGTACTGGGCATGCAACTTGCCCCCAGTACACAAGTTCCAAAAACTCTTTTAAGTTTTAAGCCACCCTTCCCCCCATAGCCATCCCCTTTCCCCATAGCCATCTTCCCTTTTCACAAAACAAAATCATCTTTGTTGGATCAATAGTGTAGCACAGTATATAAGAGTTACATCTCTCATTTCTGCTCTGCCAAGGCCTAAGATGACTATCTGTGATGATAGTCTCCCCTTCCTGTCTGGCAAAGAATTGGCGTATGCATATTAATTATTGCGAATGTGCCAATCAAATGTGGCGATTGCCCAACGGAATGCTTTTTTCTATGAACAAAGGAAAATAAAACTTTCCAGGTAAGCAGATTGCAGATATGTCAGCCAACCTCCATTAGAACAATTTTTTCCATCTCCTCTTTTCCATTTTAAGCCATGTCCTTCTCCACCACCTTTAGTAAGTAGAAGTCCAAGGGACAGAGTAAATTTCTTCCTCATGAGATTGCTGGCCTACAGAGTAAAGAGAGGTGATAGACCAGGTGATAGCAGAAAAAGGGCAGAAGGGTGATAGAGGCCAAGAGATCTGTAAACAAAAGCAGGAGAAAAGAATAGTAGGGGTAGAAGCCTGGTGACCGAAATAGAAGGGAAAATGTCAAGGAGACTGAGAGATGAAGCCAGAAGGGGACAAAGTAGGGAGGATGTGAAAGGAATCGACAAAGTTATCACCTTAATCACCATAACCATCATGTGTGTCAAGTGACATCATTGGCAATGCTTCTCCTGAGACAAGCACGCACGGCTCCAATCTGAAACTCGTCATGGTCATTTAGTGGTTTAGCTCACAGTTTAGATGTCTGTAGTGATTTAGATCTGAAAGATGATCTGTGCTTGCTGCAATGAATAAGCCAACAAACAGTTTAGATTAAGGTGTACAATTAACATATTTGAAGGTATAGAGATTTTTTCTACTCATTCAATATGGTGGGGACATTGAACATTTAAACACTTACATAGAGATTTGAGAACAATAACTAAGGAGTGTTCTTCAGTTTCATTATGTGTGAGATAAGAACTTGTATACATTTAAGTTGGGGCATAAACTGGTATTACTGGTTACCTGACTGGTCTCTGTTGGAACTTGGAAGCCACAAGTAGTCTTACCATGTACAGAGACAAAAACACAAACTGTAGATCTGCCGAATTAACATTTTGTAGATTTTTATAGAAGCTAGCAGCCTACCTACTGTCTTGTAGTTGTTGTACAGCCTCCCAAGCAGTATATATTCTGTAAACTGCTCTGACGTGGTAATGAAGGACAATTTGTAATACAGTAAACATCTGGCTCACAGACCAAGCAATATCTACCTCCCTTTTCCCTTAAAGCCTATAGCATCAGGATGCACATCCTCAGGCCTCAGGGCCAAATCCAGTCTGTGGATGTATGACCACTGGTGTGCAGTGTATTTAGTATTATCATTTAGGGCTTTACAATTATAGAAAGAGGAATTATATAGGTGAAAAAGGCCCTGCTCAAATGAGCTTACAATCTGTGAGGATTTGAGGTAGGCAGATATATATCATTAGGTGACTTGCCCAATGACAATTAGTGATAAGGTGGTCTGACCAAGATTTGATCCTGGTGTTCCCAATACTAAGGCTGTGGTGTTACCACTGCTCTGCATAGTGTACTAAATTATACAGTGCAACTACGGAGCATGTGCACCTATCATCAAAAAAAAATTGTATCACCACAGTCAGCCATCATTATGTGAGACATGGAAAAAGGTCTCTTGCTCAACTTTATGGCTCGGCGCTGGGTGTGAAGGATGAGAGGCAGGGACTGGAGCTGACCTTACATCCCCTGTTCTCTCCTCACACACAGAGCTGTATGTGTGAAGGGAAGGGAGCAGTCTGGCACAGAAAGCAGGCAAGTCCTGGTATGCTGCTTGAGGGAGGACTGACACTGTAAAATGGGGTACTGTGGAGAGACAAATGGAGACAAAATGTGATGGAGAGAGATACAAGGCAGAGGGTGATAGGGAGATAAAGAAGTTAAGGGGGTGATAGGGAATGACACCTGGGAAGGGGGTGATGGGGAAAGACACTAGGGAAGGGATGATTGGGGAAGGGCAAGCTGGATGTTGGCATGTTTCTGGGCGCAATTTGAGGCTCGAATCATGGCAGCAACACAGTGCCAGGACAGCGGAAGTAAGAGGGAAGGTGAAGGGGCTTGTGAGCCACCTTCGGGCGCATCTTCCTGCCATGCTGTTAAGTTCCCCGTATTGAGCCCGCCTGGGTTGAGAGCCACCAGGGATATCCTCCCAAAGCATCACTCACAGAGGTGGAAGACCTAACGGTACAGGTGGCGAACATCCATCACGGGATTTTGCTGCATCCCTGTAGGGAAGGACTTGGACTCAGATGTGAGTCATTGAGTCCGTGGTATACCGATGCAGGTCCTCAACACAGCTCGGGGCTGGAGGGATGCCACGCTTACCCGCCACCTTGGACTGTCTCCGAGCTACTCCTGCAAGTTCCGAGCCTAGGAGTTGGCTGATGCAGAACTATACCCGAAATATCTACGTCCAGTTACACACGGTCTGCCGACATTATCCATTGATAGCTCATAGTATCCTAATTTTTGTTTCATGTTTCCTTTACCTACTTGACCTGTGAACTGCAGTGATTTACCAGAGGGTAGTGTTAATACGCCTATAATTATGAGCCTGTTAACCCTATATTGAGCCTGCTACAGTTAATCCTAGCTTTTATGCTTACTTACTACCCTGGGAATATCAATAAGACCTATCTCAGTCAGCCCAGTACCGTGACAGTGTGTGGAGCCTGAGTGGTTAACCTCTCATGCAATCCTAGCTAGACGTACTGTTATTACGTTTTCTCTTATTATACTACTCTCCAGCTACCTGTCATTTTGATCTTTAGCATGTACTTAGCTTTGAATAGGCAGGTGTACCTAGTATGTTTCTTACATAATTTAAAAATTAAGAAGACATATTATGGAGTTTACACTCTTGTATATATATATATATATATATGTATATCTTATTATTAAAATATATATATATATCTTAATAATAAGCTAAAACGGAGAGAAAAATCAATATATATATATATATATATATACAGGTTGATGTGCTTCTATGCTTATGCGACTGTGCTACTGTAATCATGTGACTTTCTGTTTTAACTCCTGTGTGTACATACTATTCTTTATCATTGCCTTAATAAAAAAGAGATTGACGCAAAAAAAAAGACACATTTGGGAAGGGGTTATTGGCGAAGGACGTATGCGAGGTAAGCAGGAGTAAAATTGGGGAAGATTAAAGTTTTTAAGGAATTCTACAGATTTCATTCAGCAGCATGCAAGCAGACATCAGAAAGATCATGTTCAAGATTCAATCACAACCATCTCATTGACATCATATGGCTGTGTGACCCCCAGTAAGAATTTCGGTCACCCACCTGGCCACCTCTACAAAAAAGTTGTGCACCCCTGCTATAGCATATTCCCATCCACAGAGCATTGAGAAAAGAAAAACACAAGTGATTGCAGCATATGAGTTTAACTCAAAATAAAACATGGCCCAGAGGAATATGATATGCCTATCCCATGCTGCCTGTTGCTCTTCAGCTCAATGGATGTAGTTAAAACAAAGAGGAAGAAGAAATAGATATTTGCACTCTGCCTGCTACTCCATGTGGAAGACAAGTTTGCTAGATCAAATAGCAACTTTCATCACATATCTTTCAAAAGTCCCAAATTTTAATTCTTGTTAGACGTGTGCAATTCATTTCGTTCCGAATGTACATTCGTATGAATTTCATGCCATTGGGACATTCGGATGCTTACGAATGTTCAATATGCCGAAGTTCCGAAGTGACAAAGTTTCAGTAATTCCGAAGTGCCAAACCGAATGCTATTGGTCCGAATTGCGGAAGCAGACACATTTTTTTACTTACCCGAATTTCAGAACAGTACCGAATTTTTTGCCCATGCACATCCCTAATTCTTGTCCTGTTATCTCAAGTTTGCTCTATAATGACCCACTTTTAGGGACTCCAACGTGCAGCATTACGTGTGGTTGCACTATGCAAACTCAACTCAAAGCAAGAAACCCTAGGTATGTGCCACCCGACAGCATTATTATTTATTTATGCAGCACCAACATATTCAGTGGCGTTGTAAAGAATGAATAAACAAACATACAAGTATTTGGTGATAAAATAAGCTAAGACATTTAGATTTGTTGCAAACTTCAAAATATAATAAAGATTGCAGAAATCTGGCAGCCAGCAGGCCTATTGCAAAACAGTGAACCCGTGAACCCAACAGAGAGATAAGATGTGGCTCTAATAATTGCAATAGTTTTGAACATTATGTATATAAATTTAAATGATACATCCCGCACAGAGCTTGTTTGAGCAGAGCCCTTTAGCACCCTCTGTTCCAGTAGGTCTTCTTGAAAATAAGTCTGTTAGTCCACCCATTGTACAGCGCTACAGAATTTGTTGGCACTTTATAAATAATAAAATAACAACACTGGTTTAAAGTTGCACTTGCAAGATATAGTATCCATAACCACCCCTATAAAACCATTAGTTATCATTATGAGAGGTTAAGAGGTGAATTTGAACTCCGCTTGCAAAAGTATTTAGATGAATTTGGCTTCATCTGTAAAATTTTGTAATAAAACCAGCTGCATTGCACAAGTGATTCCTTCTGAAATGGCATTTCCCCCTCTTCGGGCTGAATGGAATATCCCATCCTTGCAGCCTTTGCATATATTCTCCCAATATGGTAAGGATATACAGGCTACACCATTGCATCATATGTAGCCAGGGGAGTCAGAAGGAACAAAAGAAACATTATGATGTTGTATGGTGGGGTATAATATAATGAAGTGCAGAGAGTTATAACAAGATCAACTTCAAAGGAGTATACAGAAAAAGAATCTGCTTCAATAACATTTTTTTTGGCTTTGTGTTTCTTGAAATCCCCACGTGCTCTAGCAGTTCTTCTTTTCCCTGCTATTTGCATTGCTTTAGCTCTTCCGTACTGCACTGTTTGAAAGGCATATTTATTGTGAATTGTTAATACTTTGTAAATAATATGTACACTTTCAGGGTTGGACAAATGTTGTACCCCCCCGCAGTTGTACTACAACTCCAATGATGCCTTCCAAGATTAAAGACTGGCAATGTAGCATGGGAATTGTAGTTCAATAACATCTGGGAGCTTTTTTTTTCTTTGCTCACACCTCTGTGAACAGAGTAGTATAGTTTAGTTGAAAACATCGGCTACCCATAAGAGTTTTTTTCTCTTTTTATATTTACCATATATTTGACTTGTCGCAGCTTGTTGGCCAAGGGAATGCAGGGCTGTTGCATACTGCAAGATATTTTCAAAACCACAATACATCTTAAATTCCTTGAAAAGTGGGAGAGAAATCATCTCTTAATAAACAACTTGAGTGCCAGAGGGTTTATTTAGCAAACCAGTGCATCAGACATGCCACCATCCCTCTAATGGTTAACAGTCAGCATTTCAGGGATAGGTAAACATGGCCAGTTTATTTAAAGTTTATTCATTAAACTGTAGAAACTTTTGCCAAATAACTCTGGTTTCTATGATTCCTTCCTTCCCTGTGCTGCATATTAACCCAGCACCCACAGGCTACAGGCTGTTTCTTCTCAATTTCCTCCTTATCATATCCTTACAATCAGGGTTGTCAAAAGCTGCCCTTGAGCGCCCTTATCCGGCCAACAGTTTCAGGGTTTTCTAATTAATATGTCCATTGTGTATCACTGAGCAATGTTCTCTGTATCACCCTGGAAGCCTGTCTTGAATGCATGTAACAGCAGAAGCCTGTTTGACAGCACTGCCTATTTACCAATCATTTCCCCGATTATCTATATTGAGTCAGAGCATAAAAAGTTTCACAATATCCTAATGAAATATAGCTTATACGGTTCATCATAGACGTCCTCATTAACAAATCTCACATTAAAATAGCTATTTTGCCTTCAAGGGCATATTTTGACCCCCAAAGCAGGGATGAAATCCGGGAGCCAGATTCAGGAGGGGACTACTGGGTATTATGTATGATGCCCAAACATATACACACACATATACAAACATGAATACAGAGGCAAATGCCTACATCTACACCCACACATATACAGATGTATACACGTGTCCAAACAGAGATATTTATATCCACATACAGATGACAGAAACATATACAATCAAAAAGATATAGATGTACAGATTCACATATACAACATGGCTACAGGCATTTAGTGTAGTGGTCAGACATAAAGTATCTTGACTACTTGGGGGGGAGTGAAGGGAGTGGAAGAGGGGGGACATTTGCCCTGGTGCACCCTCCTAAATCATCCATGCCCCCAAATGTGACCTATGTGAGGCTCTTCTTCGCAGTCACCACCATCTTCTTTCTTCAGCTCCTGGTGCCACATCCGCCAAGAGTCAGCATCACTGATGCACAAAAGTACAACACCGAGGTCTGTAGAGGTCTATAGAGGTCCCCACAAGTTTCAACTCCCACAATGTGCAAGAAGATGACAGTTTCTGTGGGAACTGACAAAATGTAACATCGGAAGCTCTGCTTTTTGTCAATTTAAGGCAAAAGTTGGGAATACCTTTTGATTACATTGCAATTTCAATTATATTCCAAAACTGTCAGAGTAGATTTTTGGCTTTACGGAATACTAATAAAGTTTCTAAAGGTGACAGGCCTGTCTAAATGTTTTCATTTGGCTGACAACACGCCTCTAGTGGATTTCACGGAGACAGCCACTAAAGCTGCTTCCTCCTTAATACTTCAATTTTCCAAGGTCTTTATGTTCTGTTTAATTACTTACAGCATAATGTTGCCAAACACAGTTAATGCTTCTCATAGAAGCAATTGGCAAACAGCATAACTGATGCATCATTGTGGGAGGAATGGGCTGCCAAAAGTAGACTAGAAAAAAGATGATTTTCTTAATGACTAAAAAACTACGGTGCTCAATAATCTAAAAATAAAGGATAATGTTGATTGGTCCTTAAATCAGCACTGTTACAAATGTGTTTCCCATAATGATGGATTGTTTTTTTTTTTTAATTAAATTCCATCCCAGTCAAAATATATAAATAATATAAAGTAGGGACTACTTTGTCTCATGTAGGATGTAAGTTTTGGTAAAATTAGGCATTGGGTGGTGTTTCCACCACCACATCCTGTCATTGCATTGGCTGAGGGCAACATACATCATCATGCAGCACATTAGATGCATATGGCTGGATCTTCAATAGACCCCTGTTTTGTAATCGTGCACTTGCACAAGAGTACACTAGTGACAGCAGCTGAAGATCTGAACATGGAAGTTGAGAAATTGACAGAAACATATACATGCACAAAAAGCCATTCTCTGCCCTTTTCTAAAAAAAAAAATAAAATAAAAAATGAAATGTTGACACAACTTTATAGAAAATAACATGGCTTGATAGGAGTAGTACAGTTTGGATAACACTTGGTACATGCTAGACTTGGTACAAGTCTTTTCAAAATTCACAACATAATACTGTTACCTGATTGTATGTAATAGTAAAGACCTGTTTAAATGCTTCCATTAAAGCATTTCCGATATGCATTTCTAATGATGATGTTCTTGACTTTAATATGTACTGACAGAACACCTGACCCTCCTCAAAATATAAAGAAACATATACACATCAGTAATAGTTAACAAAAAGCAAAGTATATGTTTGGCCTCCAAATCTGTGTGTCCACTTTGAGAGGTCAAAGTGTCACTGCAAGTTTATTTTAAGTGTTGTAGTTTCTACCCTGTCCTCAGGGACGTATCTTACACGAGGCAAACAAGGCATCTGCCTTGGGCAGCACTTTGCAGGGGGCGGAAAAAAAAGCCGCCCCCAAACTCCCATGCAGATCCCTTGCTTGCCTTAGGGGGCTCAAGAGCTGGCCAGCTGGCCACTTCTGAGCCCCCCCCCACCCCCAGCGAGGCTGGTGGCGGGCAGCGAGGGAGCCTACTCACCTGAGCTCTTCCTGCTCAGCTCCCTCCGCGCCGCTTAATGAAGCCGGGAGCTGGAATATGACATCTGACCGGCTCCCGGCATCACTAAGGGGCGCGCAAGGGAACTGAGCAGGAAGATTAGAGCTCCCTCGCTGCCTACTCAGCCTGTCCGCCCACTGCCTGCTCGCCCAGCAGCCCTACTGGACAGGTTAGTAATCCACTCCAGCTCTCCAAGGGAGGCTGGGTGGATTTAAAATTAAAATAAAATAATAATTTGTAAGTGTTGGGGGAAATGTCTGTGTGTGTGTCTGTGAGTAAATGTGTGTGTGTCTGTGAGTGAATGAGTGTGTGTGTATATGTGTGTGTGTGAATGTGTGTGTGTCTATGAGTGTGTGTGTGTGTCTGTAAGTGTGTGTCTAAGTGAATGTGTGTGTGTGTGTGTGTGTCTGTAAGTGTGTGTCTAAGTGAATGTGTGTGTGTGTGTGTCTGTGAGTGAATGTGAGTGTGTGTGTGTCGGTCAGTGAATGTGTATGTGTCGGTCAGTGAATGTGTATGTGTCGGTCAGTGAGTTTGTGCGTCTGTCAGTGCGTGCGTCTGTCAGTGAGAGTGTGCGTCTGTCAGTGTGTGTCCGAGTAATAGTGTGTATATGTGTGTGTGTGAATGTGTGTGTGTCTATGAGTGTGTGTGTGTGTGTGTCTGTAAGTGTGTGTCTAAGTGAATGTGTGTGTGTGTCTATATGAATGTGTGTGTGTGTCTGTAAGTGTGTGTCTAAGTGAATGTGTGTGTGTCTGTGAGTGAATGTGAGTGTGTGTGTGTGTGTCGGTCAGTGAATGTGTATGTGTCGGTCAGTGAGTTTGTGCGTCTGTCAGTGTGTGTCCGAGTAATAGTGTGTGTCTGTCTATCAGTGTGTCAGATCAGTGAGTGTGTGTCATTGTTTGTCAGTGTATATGAGAGTGTGTGTCTGTCCTTGAGTGTATGCGTCTATACCGTGAGTGTGTGCGTCTGTCAGTCAAAGTGCGGCCTTGACTGGAAGGGGTGGGGGAAATTTAAATTAAGGGGGGGTTGCCCGAGCACCGTCCTGCCTAGGGCAGCACAGATCCTAAATACACCACTGCCTGTCCTGTTACTAAGGCTCCATGCAGAACCATCTTCAGTTTTTATGAGACCCTAGGCAAAACCCTGTCAATTTCTCTCCTGCTTTTTCCCTACACATAATCCCCGTGTCACTTACTCCACAGCGTAAACGCTCTTATTCTTTTTCAGAATAACCCAAATCCTTCCTCTTCTTCTCAGACATACATTTTCCTATCCTCAGCTTCCCTTTGTTTCTCAGACCCACAGCCATCCGTTCCTTACCTTCCCAATCCTCTTTATTATCAAAAGACTCTTGCTTATCAGCCCTAATTTTCCAAATTATCCTGTCTTTTGTTTTTTCTACATCCTGTTTAATAGACCCTATCTTTATTATCTCTCAGCCTTCTAAGCCCTTCCACTCATAAAGTCTATTTTCTTTTTCACTTCCACTTTCTCTCAGATACTAATTCATGCCTATTCTCAGATATAAACCTTATACCAGCAACCTTCCCAAAATCTCTGCTCAAAGACCTTAGTTATCACTTCAACCTTAAAATTCTGTCAGTATTTTTGATGAAGAGGAATCCATCCTTGTTTTCAGTTTACACCTAACATTTTCACTATTGCTGTTATCCTATTCGAATCCACCTAATCCAGACTCATGCCTTATTAACCCCTTAAGGACCAAACTTCTGGAATAAAAGGGAATCATGACATGTCACACATGTCATGTGTCCTTAAGGGGTTACAACTCTCTTTCTTTTAGAACAGCCCAGTCTTCACTCAAAAATACTTATGCAGCATCCATCATATAACCTATTTTGCAAGGCTGTCTTGTTTCTCCTTCCTCATGTTACATTTAAATAATGAAATTGTCTTCATTGTGTGTCCTGGAACTCTGAATCATTAACTTCGTCTCAACTTTTTTCTGAATCAGTTATGAGTCTTTAGAGGATGTGGTGGAATTAAAACAAGAGATGAGAGGCTGTGGGAGAAGATTGGACTGATATGAATCTGTGAGCATAGAACTACAGGACTTTGTAGAATAGAAAAGCATTGTTGACTACATGTCTAATGCAATGAGGCAATTTATTAAAGAGATGCTATAGGCACCCAGGCCTATACTTACATTGCAGGACTTAGACTGCCTCTAATGGCTGACAATCAGACAGCCACTAGAGGCACTTCCTGATAGTTAAGCTACTTTTGGTTGCATAACTGACATTGAGCAAGGCCTTCTTCACCTCTTGTCTCTGTACATATTTTTGCAAGTCAACTACTTGTTGTCAATTATTTCCATTCTATGATTGGAAAGCACAGTGGGATTTGTTGGTGCTTTATGAATAATAATAATAATAATAATAATAGAGAACTATTGCTTCATTTGTCAATAGAAGTCCACTTTGTGGAGTAGAGGTTGATATGGTCAGAACAGATCTCTGTCCAGTATTTTGATTCGTGATTCTGTGTAGGTTTGTCAAATGTTTACATTTTTATGAAATAATAAGAATCATCGGATTATATTCCTAAAGTGAAATAATTCAGAAATATGTGTTTAGGGCGTTAGCTTTCATTTATTTGGATGGAAGTGCCTGCTGGCTGTAGAGCCAAAGTAAACCTGTAGAGCCAATGGAGGCCCTTACAATACAGAGGCACCTTTGATATAACGTGACCCACTCAGAGAAACTACATGGGAGTTGATATTTGTGCTTCTGCCACCTCTTTTATGTGCACAGTGATTTGAACAGAACTGCGTGACATTATGTTGTATCTATGACCTCAGTCCAAAAAGATGCTTCCAGTCCCTTTTATAGGAATATTACAATCTGTTATTTTTTTGTTGTTGTTGTTTGATCCTGTTTACAAGTGTACTCTTATGCACTGCAGAAACAGTAATAAAATGCAAAGAAGTGTTTTTTTGTTTTTTTTTGCATGGACATTTGTTTAATAGCAAGTTATTTTTGTGCATTAAACTTGCAACACACTGAAATTAAACCAGCAGCACATACGATTTTTTATGCATATGTTTAATATTTGTAGGTGGAGACTGTCCTTTCAAATTATGTCTTTGTGCTTTGTGCTTTTGTACTGATGTTGGAATAATTTCAAGGTGTTGCAACACAAGCCATTCTGGCACTTTTTAGTATGTTTTTGTTCAACCAACACACATTATGTATCATTTTTAAGTGACAGATAGTGATCTCTACTAAAACAGAAATTTTATTATTTGTTTATCAATAGTATAAGACATTTTATCAATAATATATTCCAATTACTCAAATGTATTTTTGTGATTGTGTTTTCCATATGCAGACAGTGTTTTTGTAAGAATTACATTATCTTCTTAAGGTAATGTGTTACTCACTCCGAATGCAGTGATGATCCCAATCTGTTGTCGTTGTTATTATTATTATTTTTTTATTCATTCTTATTTTTTCTGCAACTTGTAACCACTTAAGGACTTTTTATTATCAGTGTTGTAATGTGTTAACAGTTGATGCAATTTTGTATTATTATTTCTGTATTTACATAACTTCAGTTTCAAAAGACAAAATAAAGATCTCCAGCATGGCCTTTAATAGTTTAGTTTGTACAAAACAAGAGCAGCTAAATAAACATTCTCAAAATATTGCTAAATCATGACATTTCCCCTCCCAAAGAATATATTTTTTCTAATTGGACATGGAGTATTTCAACATGGAGTATTTCAACATGGAGTATTTCTTTTACAATTTGCACATTTTCCCCAGTATTTCCCAATATATTGTGACTGTGGATTTTGGGCATAGAGAATATCTTTCTGTAAAAAAATAAAAATACAATGTATGTTCAGCTATATTGGAATGTTACACATTCTTTATATTTACACCAAGAACAATGACTAGTCCATGTTCATTAACCCCTTAAGGACACATGACATGTGTGACATGTCATGATTCCCTTTTATTCCAGAAGTTTGGTCCTTAAGGGGTTAATGAGCTGGACACTGATAAATAGATAATACTGTAGTGAAACTATTACAAATGAACAAGTCACACTCTACTTCAATAAAAATAGATTTACATTATTCCATAAAAATCCATTGTTGTATTGAGCATAATAAGTTTGGGCATCTGCATCTTGCACTACCTTTATAACATTTCAAGAAATAGACCATAATACTGCATTGTGAGCTGTATTTTCATGTAAAGACTTGTTGTTTTATTTTTGCTTCGCTGTTCAGTTTTATTTTCTCTTTTATGGAGGTAGCTTGATCACAACAAGCCTCTCCTTATTGTTTGTTCCCAAGGCAGTAACATGATACCAGTTTCACTATAGGCTACAGGCTCACTGTTGTAGGACTAACCATATGGTTGTAACAAGCCCTGGGGCCCTCCTCTCCCATATGGAATGCTAGAGGTCAGCTTTTCATATACTAGTAATGTAGCTAGCAATCTCCTTGGGGTATTATTCTCCTTCAGTGATCTCTTCTCTAAGGCAGGTGGCCTGGGTACAGAAAATTAGGGCGTTTCTTTGCTGAGCTCATAAAACAAATAATAGTGTTGTTTTAGCCCTGTAATTTGATAACTATATATCGGCATACATTATTGATTGGAATCAATATGCATAGTATTCCATCCCAGCCAGTTCATACGTCTTGATAACAAAAGGCATATTGAAATTATTACTATAATTATTATTATTATATTTATATAGCGCCAACAGATTCTGCAGTGCTTTACAATATTATGAAAGGGGGGATTTAACTATAGGACAATAACAAGAAAACTTACAGGAACGATAAGTTGAAGAGGACCATGCTCAAACGAGCTTAAATGCCATTCGATTCTGTATAATATCAGCTGAACTAAACACAGTTTGTTTTGGTAACATGGATTTTATGTTGTAAAATAGTTTTTTTAAAATTATGAGTAAAACAATATTTCAACAGAAAAATAAATCTATTGCTTGCATAATTTTTCAAACCCTATGAAGTCAACTGTTTAACATTGTTCCAGTTGACTTAAAACGGCTCTGTCATGGGCTGAACCTTTTTTCATGTCCCATTGCCACTGACTTTCCTAGTCCTTAATACCTCCCCAGTTTATTTCTTTTTTACTTATGACCCTTATTTTTATATTTATTAATTTTTATGTTTGGTCACCAGTTCTTTATTTGTCCATGCACCGCCATTTTGAGGATTGTGGCAGTAACGATTAGTCTTTGACCTCATCTGTTCATACTCAGCCCCGCAATGCAATTCCCATACTTGCCCGCAGCACTGCTGAGCAACCAGCCTGGCAGCCAAAATCAATGGAGCTTGTACTGGGCATGCACAAGACTTGGAGAAGAACAGTTGATGAATCCTGAAAATAGAATGGATGAGGGACACAACAGGCAGATACGTTTTGTGGGTAGTGGGTTTGACAAAGGAAGTGGAGATAGCTTAAACTCCACCCTTTGTCAAACTTTGTCATGATTTTTTTTCTGTTTGTTTTTTTACGAAGATCAGAAAGGAAGAAAAGAAGACCAGATCCAGAGAGAAGAAGAGAGGCATACATTTAAGAAAGGAATGTTTGGTGTGACTCTAATATTTGTCCCTCCATTAAATGTCATCATGTATTTTCAGGATAACAACCATACTGCCACAGGATTGTTGGTCAGGTTTTGAACAGGAAGGAAAATGAGAACCAGAAAGCATTCTACAGAAAAAGCAACACAGATGCAATAATTAGGAAAGGGCTACAATATAAAACCCAAGTTTGGTTACCCTTTTAACACATGTGGATCAATATCAGGAAGTGAATGTTGCATCAGAGCACCTTGGTTCTACCAAGAAAATGATAGGACTTTAACCTCATTATTTAATCATGAAGGGTACTTTAGAGAAAAGCAACAGAGGATGTGTATTCTCTTTAACTTTATTCATCACTTACTTGTTTCTCCAGATTGCGTCCTGCAAGTCACTCCTTGATTTCTCCTTAGTATGGCACTCAGCGACACTCACTGCTTATACAAGGAAGGCTGCAGACCTCTTATGACAACACTGCTCTACCTCACATGCATGCATTCAGGTCTCCTAAACAAAGTCCACATTAGGAATTCAGATGAAAGCTAATGACACTGGGATGTGACAACATTATCAGTGAGTGGTCAAGGTAGGTAACCACATAAGTGACCTTCTCCTGATTCTCCTGAGGACTCCAGGATGGTGCCTAGTCTTTTAACCTCTTTAAGGACACATGACATGTATGACATGTCATGATTCCCTTTTATTCCAGACGTTTGGTCCTAAAGGGGTTAACTGACTTCCTGATCAGTTTACGGCTTTATTGTTTTCAGGATATACAACACCATTTCTGAAACTTTGCCACAACCGTTTATCCTAGATCTTTTAAACTCTTGTATTTGCCCTTAAGAACTTTCCTTTTTTAGTAGCATCTTGGCTGTCATATAACTCTCCAGGTATGTCCTGTGTCATTCCAGTCTTTCCAGTCAATGCCATCTTCTAAAGCTTTGGCAATCTAATTACTGTATATTGGCCTCCACTCCCAGCAAATCTTACACATAGAGGGCAGGGAACCACCGAATTCAGGGTCTGGGAGTGGTACATTAGCCTACCATTAAAATAACCTAATAACATAATTCTGGTCCACATGGGATTATGGCAAGAAAGTAATCGTTTATTAAATAGTTTCACATGAGCGCATGTCTGCAGATTGCTAAATCATGGAAGGGTAAAAATAGTTTTTTTGGTCAAAATTCAAAGTAAAGTGCAAAATTACACTATCCTTGCATCAAGACTACCACTGTAGTAAAATATTGTGGTATTATTATGCTGTTGGCATACGTTTTGCCAGCTGGTTAATGATCTCAAGCAAGCCCCCCTTCCCCCACTTGCTATTGATTATAATGAATTTGGAATTCAAATTGCAAACTTTAGGCAAAAAGTACTGATTTTAAAAAATTCTCCAGCTCTGCTATAGTCACAGCTTGCTTTTTTTTTTTTTTCATAGTTTCATACCTCCCAACTCCAGTGTCCAAGGAATCAGGAAAGGGGCAAAGGGGGCAGGGCCCATTATGTAATTGTGTCACTGGCTCTGCCCAAAGGTGGGGGCCCATTTCGATAGAAGCAAGTCAACAAAAATTACTGATGGGTCAGCTTAGTGTGAATGCATGACAGGCTGACTGCTAATCATGAAAGGCCAGCCCACTCAGGGCAGGGAGCACTGTTTAAAAACGTTCTGCAGGGTCCTTGTGCCCTGAACATAGCATGGTGTGCCTACTGATGAGCTCATGCAATGTTTGTTGGGGACAGTTCCCTGTTGTCTCCAAAACGGAGACACCAGGGAACTAAATTGGTACAATGGAACAGGACCAAAAAATCAGCACTGTCCTGACAAAATTGGGATGGTTGGGAGGCCTGTGATTTAGTGTTTAGTGAATAGCTCCAAAAAAGAAAAGAAATACTAATAATATCATATATCATTGAAATGTCATGAAATATTATTAGGAACACATAAGGAGTTTACCTCTATAGTTTAATTTCTGCCCACACTGCATGTGGGAAATTGCTCTGAGAATCATAGCTTGACTTTGCTAAAAAAAACAAACTGGCGTCTAGAACACACATTTAAATAATCTGTATATACATGATGATAGGTAAACTCTGTGTATTACACTAATTAGCCACAACCAAAACAACTCTGATGCATCTAGGCATGGACTCCACAAGACCTCTGAACCTCTCCTGTGGTATCTGGCACCACGATATTAGCAGCAGATCCTTTAAGTCCTGCACATTGTGAGGTGGGGCCTCCATGGATTAGACTTGTTCCAGCACATCCCACAGGTGCACAACTGGATTTAGATATGAGGAATTTGGAGGCCAAAGCAACACCTTGCGGAAATAGGCCACTGCCATCAGGGAACACCATTGCCATGAAGAGGTATACATGGTCTGCAACAATTTCCAAGTAGGTGGTATGTGTCAAAGTAACATTTACAAACCCATTCGAGGGAGAACATTACCCAGAGCTCCACTGGCCTGCCTTCTTCCCATAGTGCATCCTGCTGCCATCTCTTCCCTAGGTAAATGACGCACACACACCTAGCCATCCACCTGATCAAACAGAAAATGTGATTCCTCAGACAAGGCAACCTTCTTCCATTGTTCCATGGTCCAGTTCTGATGCCTACGCTCCCATTGAAGGCGCTTTCAGTGATGGACAGGGTTCATATCGGGCACTCTAACTAGTCTGTGGCTACGTAGCTTTATATGGGCAAACTGCGATGTTTTGACACCTTTCTGTCATGGCCAGAATTATTTTTTTCAGCATTATTATTTCAGAATTATTTTTTTCAGCAATTTGAAATATAAATATAGTAGCTCTCCAATGTGATCAGACCAGACGGACTAGCCTTCGGTTCCCATGTGCATCAATGAACCTTGGGCACCCATGACCCTGACACCGGTTCATTGGTTGTCCTTCGTTACACAAATTTTAGTAGGTACTAATCATTGCATACCCTGCAAGACTTGCTCTTTTGTGGATGCTCTGACATAGTCGTCTAGCCATCACTATTTGGCCCTTGTCAAAGTCACTCATATCTTTTCGATTGCCCATATTTCTCTCATCCAAAACATGAAATTCTAGAACTTACTGTTCACTTGCTGCCTAATAGATCCTACTACTTGACAGGTGCCATTGTAACAATATAATCAATGTTACTCACTTCACCAGTCAGTGGTTTTAATATTGTGGCTGATCAGTGTATAACCATATGTAATAAAATAAATCACCCCGTGATTATTAGGCTTGCTAACTTGGACATTTCTACTTGCTACACAAAAATTCCATTAACAGCTGGCTGGCAGGCATGCAGGATGGGAGGCTTAATTGCTAAAGTGGGGGAGGGAAGGAGCCATTATTGTTGAAGACAAATTCAATATAAAGGAGAGGAAAAGAGCTATATATCTGGGTAGGAGATGAAAGCGGACATTGTGGCAATAAGCAAGAGTTGGTATTTGATTATAAATGAATGTGAGTGGTAAATGCAATAGGATGTTTTCAGATTCACATGGCCACTGTCACTATTCAGAAATACATTGTTGCCATTCAGCAATGAGAATGCTTAGTTCCTTCCCCAAAAAACAGTGAATCCTATATACAGCTGTTTTGTTTTGTTTTGCCAGACAACTACATGTGGAAATAATACACAGCTGATAATATATATATATATATATATATATATATTTATATATATATATATATATAAATATATATATATATATATATATATATATTAGAGGTTTTAAAGTTTGCAATAACTTGTTTGAAAATGTATTGTAAAATGCATATGCATGTGTTTTAGAATAAATTGTCCATAACACTAACAAATATATCTCATGTATTGTGACATATAAGGCCCAGATTTGAGCTGCATAAATAAATACCATAAGCCAAAAGTATGCAAGTTTATAGCATTATAGATTATAGCATTATAGACAAATTAAACCTTACTTAGTATTTACTTATCATCAGTAACTGTCGTATCTCTCTTCCTTAGGCCCAAACCCTCATCCATCACCCCAACAAGAAGGCCATTTATTTTACTCAGCTCTTTTAATAGCAAGAAAACGTTATGCCAGAATACCAGAGTATTGCAGTATGCAATGAAACCTTTTTTATTGGACTAACATAATATTTCAAAGACAAGCTTTCAAGAGTTTTCCTCTCCTCTTCAGGTCTGAAGCAATACAGATCAATCTGATAGAGTTTAACACTTAAAACAACTGTTGTTAGAGAAGGGGAGGTGAGTGGGGTGTCATAAATAGCAGAACATGTGCCTGAAAGTGAAAGGTGCAAGTTGACTGAGAATAGCCAGACAAAGTAAATAAACAGAAGAGAGTCAATAAGCTAGTTGAAAAGTCTTCTGCTATTTATGACACCCTACTCACCCCCACCTGCCCCCCTTCTCTAAAGTTAATTGTTTTAAGTGTTAAACTCTATCAGATTGATCTGTATTGCTTCAGACCTGAAGAAGAGAGGAAAACTCTCAAAAGCTTGTCTTTAAAATATTATGTTAGTCCAATAAAAAAGTATCATTGCATACTGCAATACTCTGGTATTTTGGCATCTTGTCTGCTGGACTAATACGATATATATATACATATGTCGTATTAGTCCAGCAGACAAGATGCCAAAATACCAGAGTATTGCAGTATGCAGTATATATATACTTTAATTATTATTAAAAATGGACTGGACAACAAAGGGTGTGACAGTGACATAAAGGCGGTAGGATCTTCCAGAATAGGGTGGTCCAATCTGATAAGGTACATGTCAGTTTCTCATACATACCTACTCAGGGCTGCTCATGCACATAGCAATGTTAAAGCACTCTTGCGTGGGCTGAATGTACTGAGTAACTAGTCATGGTACAAGTGTGTCTAATGATGCACTTCCACTAACTATTTTGGTGTCTATGGTATCCTCAGAAGTAGGAAATCATGGAACAAGCCTAGGACAGTGGGAGAGGAGCTTAAAAATTGGATTATTCTTCCAAATCCAGGATTAGTTCGAGGTATGGAATTCTTGTATTCTAGTCCCAGTTTTCTGGCCGTACAGCAAATACAGCAAATGACAGTGCACCACTGCAGACATCAACACAAGGTCTGCTTAGGACATTCCCTACATAATGCAATGAAAACTAGGAAATGTAGTAGAATCTAGTAGAAGTCATTAACAAGTATTAGTACCAGATAGCCAGGGTAGTAAGGGTATTATATATTGTTAAAGCTGAAGTCCTTTATGTGTGGAGAGTCTTTTTTTCATGTTACAAAAAGTTCAGATTTAAATAGAAATTGGCACTTTTATCAATTCACATGGATACACCCCCATGGCTATCAATCAGACAAACAGTCCTGCTATTTCCTGGTTTGGTTTGCTCACTGGAGCTAAACTCATGAGGCAGGCAATAGCTCACAGCACCTGCCTTGCAAAGTCTTCTCATTGAGCTGCTTTAGGAAAGTTTGGTCTGGGAAGAACGTGAAAGCTTGCAAATGCTGCAGACACGAGAACTGCAGCTTTTGCAAGTGGGTTTATATATACCCCTGAATGAAAAAATGCACAATTAAATGTATGCACTTTTCATTGGGGTATATCTCTGAAACAGTGATTTTTACAATAATTTTACATGGGCAGTGGAGTGTTTTTTTAAGGTGCCATGGGCTTGAAAAACTATGGGATAGGATGCAGAGTAAGTTATCTAAGTGTGGAAACATTTTGTTACAATAATTTATATAACATTAGTGCCCTGTGGATCTCAGCTCTGAACACTGAATTGTATTTGTTTTTCTATAGCTATCTATAGCTAGATGGTAGGAGTTTTATTGAGTGGTAATATGTCTTGCCGTGTCGCATTGAATTATTTATATCACAATTGCTACTTCCAGTTTCAAGACAGTACGATAAGTGTACATGTGCAGAGAGTCTCCATAGGACCTTTAAAATAATTTTAACTTACCAGAATACAGCATGGTAAAACAACACTCACAGAAACTCATCTTCTGCAAATTGTACTAAACATCATTAAAATAAAATTTTAATTAATAATAATATATGAAGAAAAAGCCCAATTCAATTAGAAAATTAAAAATTCTGCACAAAGAATTTGCTATTCTGATTGTAAAATTATCCTTTAATTACACTTTTCTGGCAGAACTGTTTAGAAAATGAATGTAAGACATATTGTATGAAAAACTACGTCCGACTTGCTTCCTTACCACATAAGGTCACCCCTAATGTAACATATTTGTTGCACTTATTCTGCACTCATTTAAAGTGGTCCATAGTATTTGCAGTTGCCTTTGATGTGTGTATATATTTATATAAGTGTATATATATATATATATATATATGTATATATATATATATATACACATATATATATATATATATATATAAAACTAAGAACCGAGCTGTCCACCTCAATGCTGCACTTTGGGCTGATGAATATAATCCAAGACAAGGTTTTGATAAAAATCTCGACAGTAGACAGAAACATTGACTGAAGTTATAAATTTTGGTGTATTAAATAAGAAAGTTTGAGTGAATAAAACCCCTCTGTGTGCGCCTGATCTTGGATTATATAGTGTGTGTACACACATAGATATATATATAAAATACGGTGTGGTTAGATAAAAACACAATATATCTCCTGAAAGGATTATGCAAATTTAAAAATGAATGCTGTGTATCATCTGCATATTTCAATTGGAACTTTGGGAAAAGGCTCTTGGCACAATAATTCTGAGAAATGTTTCACCAATTACCCAGAATTCCCAGCTCGACATGCAAGTCAACACAGACTTGGATCCAGTTCAGACTTCATCCTGCATTTCTTCAAGCACCCTTAGTAAGGGAGCACTAGATCACAACCCATGATTTGGTTTTAAAGGATTTATCTCCAGGGAATAGTTAAAGAAACAACTGACTTTATTTAGGGAAAGTTGATTTTAATTCATACTGATACCAGGCAAAGGCAAAATACATGTATAGGATTTTCATCTGGTTATTAAATCTGTACAATCATGTACTACTACAGTAAAATGTATGCTCACTAATGCAATTGTTTTATTGACCATTTTAAAAAATGATTTATTAGATCATAAAAGATAAATACACGTTCTGACATTATTTGCATTGATTTTAGCTTTCAACAAAACAAATAGTTCAGAAACAGTGTGTATAATTTAGAAACCCCAGGTTATTCCGCAGTGCTCTACATCATTATAAAAGGGGCATATTTAACAATAAATGAGACAATTACACAATGTTACAGGAACACTACTAGGTTACTGCTTGTTTTCGCAGGGTCCTATTTCAACTTAATTAGGTGAAACTACTCTTAATATTATACATAGCTATCTAAGAAAAATAAAAAATAAAAAAAATGTTTTTTAGTGGATTGCAGTTTGTTTTCCAGCCGTTATATTTAAAGGTGGCGCTGTTTCTACAGACAAGGTTTATAATGGCTTTGCTGTCTCCATAAAAACATTTATCAATCACTTGTACAAATAAGAAGTAAGGCACCCAGAACCACTGTAAATAAATGTTGTGGCTTTATTAACGTAAGAATAAAACAACTCTGCTTAAAGTAGCCTTATTTACGCAACAGAAAAATATCTACAGCTGTTGATGTGACACTTCTTATTTACCCAAACAATTAATTGAGATTCCTAACCTTAGTAGCAATGGGAACTCTCAATATTGCTCTGTTGCCAGTACCTTTGCCAGACTGTAAGGATCAGCCCAGTAGTAATTCTCATGATATGTGAAGTGTTATCTTGAAAACCCGGTGTGCAGCGGTCCATAGAGGTCTGGAATGGAGCTCAGCAGAAGTGCACCTTACAGTCAAGGTACATATTAATGATCTGTCTATATCTATGGATTATGCCATTGCCTGTCCACACACATATACACTCTTGCTTTCTCCCTGTCTAATCATGTATACAGAGGAACAGAAGATGCTGTTACCTGTACACAACAGATCCCATTCCTTTCCCAGCTCAGTCCTCATCATGAATCAGTATCCCTGTCTGGGTAGACTTTGCTCTGCAGGGCACACTATGCCCAAAGATACATTCCAAATTGTAGATCTTTTATGTTCTGTTCTTCCATCGATCTCTTTATCAGACTCTCCTCCAGTTTCTTCTGTTATAAACCAGTATCTGGATTTCCTCCTGCACTTGGGGCTCTCTTCATAGTATGTTGTATATCCTACTTTATCACATGTGTTTTATCCCATTTAACTATTGTACAATGTATCCTGTTTTCCTCTGCATGTCTTCTCTTTAGTATTCCAACTGCTTTTCTCTTCCTGTTTTTACATGACCCCTCTCTCTGTCTTGTCCAAACCGTCTCCTTCCTATTCATGACTATTTTGCTACCTTCTCTGGCTCTGTGAGTGCTCTCTGCTGATTGCAAAGAGTCTGCTCTCCCCCCCCCCCCTTCTCTCTCTCACTTTTTTGGGTGGCGGTGGGGGTGGGGGAGGTGATATATGTGGGGGTGTAAAATGAAGGGTCTGAGGGGAAAAAAAATTCAAAGAAAGTCACCAATGAAAAGGTAAAAATGTAGTAATGCAAGAAAGCCTGTTAAATGGAACACTGAGGGATAGACAAAAATAAATCGAGAAATGTATGACAGAAAAAGAAACAAGAGAATGTCATTATCAGGATAAAAGATTCATATATTATCAAAAGAAGCAAATAATTCATCCTGAGAATCCTGCAGATTAACATATGATCAACACATGTTCAAATCATAAAAACAAGGCATACTCTATGTAGCATTTAAGAGAACATCAGTTTCTGGGAAATGACTAATCTTTGACACTGCAATTCTTGTGATCAGTGAACGTGCATCATAGGAAACATAGTCCACAACAACTGCAGTGCCACTGACTGTTGGTGGGTGTTTTTTTTCTGTAAAGTACAAATCATATTATTCTCAGCAGCTGCAATACCATAAATTGCCTATCTCTAATTATCTGAGCCCACATTTTCTATGCAGATGTGTTAATGAGTATGTTGAGCCTTTTATGGTCAGACATCATCTGCAATGCACATCTCTTTTGAAATGGAAATGACTAAGCAGCATACTCTTGCACTGTATCTATATGTCTTAACTCTCCTTTGTAGAACAAACCTGATGGTTGTTACCACTTTTACCAATGTGAATGTATGTTCTTAAATGTCTGTGCGTAAAATAACCTTACAGAAAGGCAACACATACAGAGTTACTCACTAAACACAGAATATTAGCTAATTAAACTCAAATTTGCTAAATGTAGGCTAAAATAGACAAATAGTGACCATAGGCAAGTTGGAGACGTTTTCCAAAAGACTTACTTTAGCCTCAATTTTGCAATCGGGGGTTAATATGCTAAAATGTGGGGTTTAGTGAATAAACGCCTCTAGTGCCTTTGAATACAAGGATAATAACACGGAGATTACATCTACAAGCAAGGAGGGGCCCTCTGGAAAATTCCCCAGTAGGGTGAAATGAAGCCAGTGGATGGGAGGGAGCTAACAATATTTGCTCTGTCTACAAGCAGCTTGTTATGTATCTGCTTACAGCCATTTACAGGGAGGGGTGGCAATAGCTACCAGCATGTCATCTTAATCCTGACAACACAGCCGCACTGCAATCCCTGGCGAGAATTTATTATACAACCAATGCATTTTTTTATTTGACATTGTTTCGATATTGTCTCTGGTGCAATAACATATAATCTACGGTGCTGTTCTGTGAATAAGCATACACACGTTTAGTGACAAAAGAAATTATGTTTACTGTTGTTTCTGTTCAAAGTAAGTCGTTTATCATATACATATCCTTTATTTGAAATCTGCATTGTGCAGCACGGCAGAATATGTTGCAAACTTACAAATAATAAAAAAAAGGTAAAAGTGCAGTAGGTTGAGGTGGTCCAATCATGATCACATTGTCTGGAAGGAAAGATTGATTACCACATTCTTTATAAACCATCTGCGTACTCTGTTGGCACTGTATAAATGATAATATTGTACTGGAAGCATCTTCTAATCAAGATTCCATAGCATTTGGATAATTGATCCTAGAATGTGCAATACAAGGAGCTTGCTCAGGCACAGACATCTTGCAATCCAGTACCAGGTATTCATTAACTCTCTGAGTGCATGAGGTGTACCCAAATGCATTACCTTTCAAGTGTTAGGAACACCTCTGGCACTCAAAGGTTCAAACAGTGGGAGGGAACAGGTTGCAACTATTAGTCTTGTGTGTTCATGTACTTTCCCTATGAACCTGTAAAATCAGTATATCCTTTTAAAGGGGAGCTAATAGCAATAGAGAATTGACAGAGCACTCTGTAGGTTCCCAAACATGGCCCTCTCCAGGCTCATGGTACACTAAGCTGGGGATCCCATTAAGTATCCCAATATTATTATTTTTTTTATTATTATTATTGCCATTTATATAGCACCAACATATAGCAGCAAACCAAATAGAAGCTGGACAACACGATCTGAATGTGGTGTCTTTCCACAATAAAATATCCTCCATAGACAGATCATGCTGCCCTGCTTATTTTTGCTATACCTAAAGGGGAACTGATTCTTACACTGATTTCTAATATTATGGTTATTTATCCACCATAATTATAATTCAATTATTAATTCGCTAACATATATTTTTTAGGTGTGAAAAATAAAATGAAACGAAGAAAGTCTCACACATCTTAATCCTCCAACTAAGCGCCATCATAGTTCCCTGCCAGTCATTGCTGTAACCTCTGTCTTTTGTACCAAGCAACCAGCATACAGAAAGCATACAAAGAAGAAGAAAAGAAAGAAAATAGTGTTTCTATTTCTACAATGTATCTGGCTGTGCCTGGACTGAACTGTATTAATTATGTAATTCACTAAAACTTTAAGTTAAATATAAAAGAAAACAGAGCAACAGACAAAAAAAGTTAAAGGAGTACCCCACACCCAGTAAAAATTTAAGTACAGTTTTTATGGGGGCAGGAGTGTCTGAGTATCGTAGAACCTTCACTGTTTAAACCAGGGGTGCCCAAAAGTTAGATCCTCCATGATGCTTTTCATGCCTTTACAATGCTTTTAGAATGACACAGCATCATGTTAGGCACCCATGGTTTAAACCATGCTCCAAAGGTTTGACCCAAAGTTGATCCTCTAGCATCTGACTTCTCTATTGTCCTTCCTCCCAGCCGCTACACACTCCAGGAAGGTTTGTAATAGGATGAGTGAGTCAGCTGACTCTGTTAGCCTATTACGGACCACTAACTGAAAATAGGTTGCACTACTACTCTGAATAGATGGCCATTGACATGAAATTCTCAAAAGTTATAGGTGATTTTCAATGTTGTATTCAATGGTGTAAGTTTCAAATATTTGATGGTTCCCCTTTAAATCAGTTGCATACTCTAAAATAAAAAACAAAAAACAAGTGTTTTCCCCCTTTTTTTTATTTACTATGATCAAATAAGTGTACTTACTGATGACCAGATGAAATTTTTTTTATATGCTTAAAAGACAGTTTTTAGAACAGTCCTATTTATTAAATAAAATTTAATTAAAAAAATATTAAATAAATAAAGGCATGTTAAGATAATTTACAAAACAGAACAGTGTTAAAAAAAAAAAAGATTATTAATATTACTGATGGTCCGAGTCTATTAAAATGCTGTAATTTGTATGTGTTATATTTACTTTAGCTATGTCTGTGAATAGGATTATGTGGTGGGCATTAAACAGCCCAGTCCCTTATAAACACAGTCCCAGGGCCATCGAAAGGACTATTGAGGTCCCGAGCGCGCAGCCCAAGTACCCCACCGACCACAAGAGAGACCCCAGACCCCAGGCACCTTACCAGGGAATATAGCGGAACAAACCACCCAGGAATCCTTTCTGATGAGCAGGCTCAAATCCACAACTATCTGGAACAGCACATAAAGGGTCATCTGTTCATGGGCTTGAACAAGCCACAGCATACAACAGCTTTACCTTCTACAGGATTTGCCTCAGCTGTAACATTGGTGAGATCCATCTAAATATCATGTATACATGATACTTACCTCTGGCTCTTTTTTTAGTGTGTACACACTAGACTGTAAATATAAATTTTTTTTTTCTTTTTTTCATCATTTTTTCATTTCTCTTTTTCCATTTTTTTCTTTTTTTCTGCAATTGTTATATTTTTCATTTTTTGCCAGATAGAAACCTGGTTTTGAACATACAGAGGGCTCTCAGCTATACAGTGCGGTTATGCACTATCACTTCTGACAAAGTCGGACTCAAATAGGGGTTGATTTGTCATGTTTGGTGTATCACTAATAATTTCACTGGTTGTGATAGAATAGGTGTAACAATTAAGCATTTTACATTGCCTTGATTGTATATATCATATTGCTTTAAATATTATAATCTATATTTGATAGGCAATTAATTAAAAATCAAGTTTTCTTCTAACAAACTATTTTGAGTGCGGTATCATATGTTTTTGTATATATATTGAAGGTATTAAGCGTGGGCTACCTTGCTATCTAGCACCAATACAGATGCCTGTACATATCATTTTTTTTTTGTTAAATAAATAAAGGCATGTAAAGATCATTTACAAAACAGAACAGTGTTAAAAAAAATGATTATTAATATTACTGATGGTCCTGGTCTATTAAAATCCTGTCATTTTTATGTGTTATATTTACTTTAGCTATGTGAATAGGATTATGTGGTGGGCATTAAACAGCCCAGTCCCTTATAAACACAGTCCCAGGAAATTTTAGACGAAATGATAAATTATATTGCAATGTATGGCACTTATGTTAATTCCTCTGCACGTCTGTGTTTATATCTATAGTTCTGAGACATCTCCCGATGTGTTCAGGTGTAAGTTGAACTATGTGGTGGGTGTTTAAAAGACAAGGTTTCATTTGACATGGAAAATAAAATAACGTTGGATTCCTCATCATTTTATGAAACAGAGACCCTCTGATCATGATAAAGTTTGGTTAGTACGAGATGATCCGAGTAATGCACCAGATGTGACAGGATGGAGAGAGGAGGGATAAACACTACATCCCCAGAGATTGGTGTTATGGGAATTCACAGAGCTGGGATAAACACAAACACTCCCATTAAGGGAAGTGACATTGTATTTATATATATATAATTATATCGTGGGGTCTGTTTATCAAACAGTGAATTGTGGTGAGTCAACAAATTTTAGACCAGAATAGTAGTTGGGGAAAAAAACAAACCCAGTTTGGATGGAGATTTCTCCCCCATATTTTGCAAGTCATTTGTCAAGTCTCCTCATCCTCACAACTCACTTTCTAGTAATTACAACCCTTGGTTTTAATAATTTATGTTCGTGTGTCTTCTCCAGGCATTGCTGATGCTTAAGAAACAGAAAATAAATACAGTGTATGTCTCTCTGACCTTTTAAGGCATTGATATTTATCTTTTCGGCTCTGGCACAAGGGGGAAAGTAATAAACTGAGAAATACATGTAAAGACTAGAGTGAAATTGCTGATGATCTGAATTTTAGCTGTTTATAAACAAGGGCAGGGCCAGAGTTACTAAAACTTATCTTTTTCTCCAAGACAAACTAATCTCTCTCATAGGGACAGGGACGAATTGGGACATCAAAATAGGCCCAGGCATTTAAACTGCTGCAGATCACCTTAAAAGTATAGAATTTCCTTCAATATAAGTTTCAACGGTTAAAAGAGACAGTGGTGTATCTGTATGTGAGATGTGTGTCAGTAGCTGTGAGTGGTGTGTGGGTAGCTCTGAGTAATGTGTGTAGCTGTGTGTGGGTTACTCGTGTGGGATGTGTGTGGGGAGACTGCTTTGGTTGTATCCCTCACAGCACTTAGGAAACACTAGGCCAGTCAGGGAAATCATGGACCTCCCTACTGGTCTGTGCTGTATGAGGGTACCCCCTAAGAGCTGGCATTTGAGGGGAATACCTGATTCACATAATGGTAGCTTTGCATTTCTGTCTTTATAGATCGGAAAAAAAGAATAATTTATATATAAGTTAAAAATAAAAAAACTGAAGTTTGAATAAAGTTAATAAACATGTAACTGTGACAGTTTGCTACTCTCCTAATGTTGATACAGGCCTCTCCATGAGATACATTTCCACACAGTTGCTATAATCCTCTCATATATATAGTATAATTCTGCAGGCAATTATCCACTACCACAATGTGTTATACGTGTTACATTGCTGTTTCTTCCCCTGTATATATAGGCTATATACAGTCACAATAATCCTACATATTTCACCATATATATTGTACCATATGCACGCAAATGACCTGGTATTTATTGTACAATACCTTGCACAGGGCCGGATTTAACCTTGCCCCAAGGCCAGTTTCTTCAATGCACCCCCTGATATATATATACATACGTTTATGGGCCTAGTTTGGGGTATGGTTGAATGTGGAATGTAACTACGTCGGTGCTGGGAGAGGGTATGTGTGTGTGTGTATGTGCGTGGAGGATGCTTGTGGTGTTCCATTTTAGGGTGAACATGCTTGTGATGTATTTTTGTGGGGATGCTGCTGCTGGGATTGCGACAAGGTGGGATAGCTGCTTGATGTGTTGCATTTGTGAGGGTTGGCTACTTGTGGGATTGCTTGTTTCTGGTGATGCTGCATGTGGAGTTGTGTACATGTGTGGTGATGCTGCACGTGGAGTTTTGTACATGTGTGGGAATTCTGCTTGTGGGATTGTGTATGTTGGGGGGGCTGCTTGTGTGATTGTGGGTGTGGAGAGAATGATGCCTGTAAGATTGCATGTGTGGGACGGAGGCTGTTGTGGGGTTTTGTGTGTTGGTAGGTCTGGTTTTGGTGTTGTATGTGTGTGCATGTAGGGGCTTATGTAGACAGGGGCTGTTCTGTGTGTGTGTTGAGCATAGGGGTTTAGGCTGTGTATGGGGGAATAAGGGCAGTAGGGTCAATATGTGGGATAGGGACAGTAGGATGCATTTGGGGGAAGGCTATAGTATGTGTATGGGAAGAAAATTGAGGCTGAAGAGTGCATGTGGGAAAATTGAGGCTGTAGTGTATGTGTAAGGGTGAATAAGGGATGCAGTGTATATGTGCAGAGGATAGCTGCTGTAGTATGCATTTGGGGTTGGTAGGGGCTGTTGTGCCTGTGAGGGTGAGAAAGGTGCTGTTGTGTGGGGAATAGGGCTGTGGTAGGTGAGGAATGGGCTATAGTGTGGGGATAGTGGTTATAGTAGGGGAGATAGGGGCTCTTATGGAGAAGCTATGGGCTATAGTAGAGTGGATAGAGGCTGTAGTGGGGGATACGGCTGTAATGGTGGATAGGAGGTGTAGTGGCATATAGGGTATATAGTGAGGGTAGTGGCTGTATTGAGGTATAGGGGCTATTGTGGGAGCATAATGGCTATGGTGGGTGGTGGATACTAGCTACAGTGGATGATTTTTTTTTTGTTCTGGTTTTCCCCCCCTTTTTTTGTGTTGCTGCTTGATTGATTGGGGGAGTGTTCATTAATTACACCTGTGTGGGATTTGTATCCCCATAAAGGCACACCCCTAACTCACTGGGCTTGCTCACATTATTTGAAAGCAGCCTCTATTAAGTAGACTCTTTCAAGTAGGAGTTAGAAAACCTGGAGTTGAAACAAACAAGGGGTTCAAACTATCAAGGTAATTGTTTTTATTTACTGTTTAAAGGGGAAATGAGTGTTAGCAAGATTGCTGGTTTAACTCAATGCACATCTTGTTGCATGTATGGATGCCTGGATGTACCCGTCCAGGGTCCATACCTCTGTGATGGTTGTGTGCGAGTGGCTTCTCTGGAAGCTCAGATTGGAGATCTCGAGAAGCAAATCGCAACATTGAGGGAGATTGACAATCTTGAGAGGAGTCTACTGCTCACTGAGCAGAGTTTAGTGGGGACAGGTAGTGGAGAGGGAGGAGATAAGACAGATGGGGAACAGGCATGTAGCTGGGTGACAGTGGGGCGAGGAAGCAGGGGGGGAGGGAAGAGGAAAGGGCTAGCTAGTCCTGATTTGGTGCAACCTAGCAGATTTGCCCGTTTGAGGGAAGATGTTGGGAGCATCAGCTCAGGAGTAGCTGTATTAGAGGAAGCTGTTACTTCTAACAGCCGAGCTAACAGCCCCTATCCACCATTACAGCCGTATCCCCCACTACAGCCTCTATCCACTCTACTATAGCCCATAGCTTCTCCATAAGAGCCCCTATCTCCCCTACTATAACCACTATCCCCACACGGGTGGGGATCAAAATGTAAGGAAGGCAAGACAGGTTGTGGTGGTAGGGGACTCTATCATTAGGAGAGCAGATAGGGCAATCTGCCGCTCTGATCGGCTCAACCGGACAGTTTGCTGTCTCCCGGGTGCTCGGGTCCGGCATGTTGCTGACAGAGTGGATGGATTATTGGGAGGGGCTGGGGATGACCCAGCGGTCATGGTCCATGTTGGTACCAATGACAAAGTAAGAGGAAGATGGAAGGTCCTAAAGAATG